GGAGCTCTAGATAAAACCACTTGGGAGATGTATCAGCCGGGGGTGCCAGGCTGGCTCGATAGGTGAGGGGAGCAACTCTTGCTCTTGGGTCACGAGTTTAAGCCCCACGCTGGATGCAGAGATTACTCAAAAATAAAATCTTCCAAAAAATCAAGAGAGGGAGAGAGAGAAAGATCAACCAAATATAAGATATAAATCTTAAATGGAGGGGCGCCTGGGGGGCTCAGCTGGTGGAGCGACTGCCTTCGGCTCAGGTCACGACCCTGCAGTCCCAGGGTCATGTCCCAGAATCGAGTCCTGCATGGGGCTCCCTGCTCAGCGGGGAGTCTACTCTCCCTCTGACCTCTCCACTCTCACTCTCTCTTTCTCTCTTTCTCTCTCAAATAAATATATAAAACTTTTAAGAAAATCTTAAATGGAGATCCATTCAAATAAACTATTCAAGCAAATTTTGAGATAATCAGAAAAATCTGAACACTAGCTGGCAATTTTAAAATACTAAGAAATTACTGGTGATTTTTTAGGTTGATAACGGTTTTGTGATATCTTTAAAAACAGCCCTTATCGGGGCACCTGGGTGGCTCAGTGGGTTAAGCCTCTGCCTTCGGCTCAGGTCATGATCTCAGGGTCCTGGGATCGAGCCCCACACTGGGCTCTCTGCTTGGCAGGGAGCCTGCTTCCTCCCCTCTCTGCCTGCTGCTCTGCCTACCTGTAATCTCTCTCTCTCTCTCTCTCTCTCTGTTAAATAAATAAATTAAATCTTTAAAAAAAAAAACAGCCCTTATCTTTGATAAATACACTTTGAAATATTTATGGATAAAAATTTTGTTTTACTTAGCAATAGTCACTGCAGTCTGTATATAATAGTAAATAACAGAATGTTATACAGACAGCCCCGTGGGCAATTCCAGGAGCCAGAGGACACACTATGCTCAACAATCACGCGGGCTACAATACACGCGCGCAACAAGATGACACAGAGTATTACATGGCTTAAAATTATCTCATCAATTAAGGAAAACACCGTAACTTCTAAACAGTACGCGCAATGACTTCCTTAGAAAAGGGTACTAACTACAAGTATCATACACCAACAGTGCTTAAGGTAAGGGTTGTGAGCAATTTTTCTTCATTTTCGTATGTTCTGGATGTTCAGCAATGAATGACTCCTTTTTAAACAAAATAAATTAAATGCTAACATTTTTAAATTGCAGAAAATCCCACAAAAATGCAATCTCCCCACTTTTATCATTTCCATTTTTCCTTAGTTCTTTGTAACTGAGACATTCTCCCTGATGACCAATTCAGTTTTGATTAATCTGCTTGTTGATGACAACTTGTTTTTCTCAAAGAAGCGCAACAGCTACGACAAACACATACACGACCAAACAGCAGACAGAGACAAGATTCCTCTGAAGGAAGACTCCTGTATAATACTCGCTGTCACAGACTCTAACAATTAGAACAGAATAACTCTAGTGACGTTTACACACAATTCTAACACTAGAATAAGCATACTGGAACAGCTGTGGGCGGGGTGGGGGGGGCGGTGGGAAGGGAGAGGGAAGGACAGACAAGGGAGGTGAGGCTCACGGTGCAGGCTCCAGGGTGCCTACCTGAGTCAGGCCCTGGCCCAAGCTAGGTTGTCTTTATGACCTGTCCCTGCCTGTGCCCTAATTTGTGAAACGGAGGGAGCTGTCATGAGGCATACAAGGAAAAACACATGGAAACTTCTTGGAACAGACCTTGGCCAACAGTTAAGCGTGTCAGTTATGAGAGGGATCTGACCTTCTCTTCCAGTGGCATGACAAGGATGCCCCCTACTTTGAGAAGACTCTTCATGTACTCTTCATGCTCTTTCTGCACACCAGCCCCACAGTACACACGATCGTACTGAGAACAATCTGGAGAAATCTCCAGGCAATTGCCAGTAACAAAGGAAGGTTCACAGAAGTCAAATCTAAAAGCAAAAAATGTTTTCCGTAACTGAATATATCACATTGTAGCAAGTCTCTACAGTAAATCTATACTACCCACAGGTTACGTTTTCCTTGAACAACCCTAGAATCACATAATACCACTGACAGAGTTAGAAGCTGCAAGTCAGACCCCCAAAATAATTGTATCGTTAATAAACAGAAACCTAGAAATCCCAAACAAAATATTATGAAAGTGAATGCCACAAACATAACACAGACTTCTATCATCTAACTTCCAATCGTCACTGTCTTTGCTCTGTTTTTATAAATCATTACCTTATTTAAGATCTACGAAAAACAAGCAAAATGAGGGGCACCCAGGTGGTTCAGTCGGTTAAGTGTCCGACTCTTGGTTTCAGCTCAAGTCACGATCTCAGGGTAGTGAGATGGAGCCCCATTCGCTTCGGGTTCCACACTCAGCCCCTCTCCCCCCCCGCACTTATGTGCATAAGTATGCGCTCGCTCGCCTCTCTCTTCCTCTCTCTCAGATAAATGAATCTTTAAAAAAATAAAACATAAAAACCAATAAAATGAAAGAAAACTACATTTGGTGTTTCTAAAAATGTTAAATCGTAAAATAAAAACTTTAATACCTTATTTAAAAATGGCAAGAGGTATTATATATACTGTTCAAATACAAATGCAATAATTCTGTTTAAGAATTAGGTGATAAATTATTATCTGTGTTGGAACGTGAAAATTGGGTAAAATGAACATTCTATTTCCCTCTCCTATTCACTGGTGAAAAATTACCTTTCCCTGGTGTCATAGTTAAAAAACCTAAAGCCCTCAAAAGCACAAAATATTTAAGAAAATAATTAGAGGGGCGCCTGGGTGGCTCAGTGGGTTAAAGCCTCTGCCTTCAGCTCAGGTCATGATCCCAGGGTCCTGGGATCGAGTCCCACATCAGGCTCTCTGCTCAGCGGGAAGCCTGCTTCCCTTCCTCTCTCTCTGCCTGCCTCTCTGCCTACTTGTGATCTCTCTCTCTGTGTCAAATAAATAAATAAATAAAATCTTAAAAAAAAAAAAAGAAAATAATTAGAACAGCTTTGCATACACCCCATTCTCCTGCCAAAACTGAATCATGTTATATGAACACTAATAAGCTTTTGTATCCCATCCAATCAAGTTTAAATTATAATTCACACAGCAACCCAAGGGTAGTATTTGATCTTACTTGTCAAAGCTGTCGCTGGTTCTAATGAAGAAGTCCAGCTTCTGCTTTGCATATTCTATTACATCCGAATGGAGTTCAACCCCGTGGTTCACACCAAAAGGACCTAAAATGTTCCAGAATAAAAAAATTTTTAGAACTAGGGCAAGAACTCTTACTCTTTATTTCTGTTTTACCCACTGCAACGCACCAGATTTGGCATGTATAATTACATGAAGAAATTCACAAGGGTTAGAGGTCTTACCACATTACCAGGCCTAAATCACCCAAGCTAAATCTTTAAATATGCAGGGTAGACTATGCTCACCACACTGTAAATATTAATAACTGTAAATACTTGTTTCTTTGACATTACCGACACCACAGCTTTCCAAAGCCTGGGTTGTTCTGCTCTCAAACCTTTGAAGAATTATTTGAAGATGTAAAAAAGCCAAGATCTGCAACCAAGAATTCAAGATCTTACTAATGAATTAAAGAAGAAAAACATTATTTCCAAATGACACTGGACTCAGTACTGTGCTCCACTAGAGGCTGCCCCAACTACTCAGACATGGGCACAAACAGCTTTTGATCATCATTAAAATAAAACTGTAACAGGGGCACCTGAGTGGCTCAGTTGGTTGAATGTCCAACTCTTGATTTCAGCTCAGGTTATGATCTCAGGGTCATGGGATTGAGCCCCACGTCAGGCTCTGTGCTCAGCATGGAGTCTGCTGCAGATTCTCTCTCTCCCACTCCCCCTGCCCCTTCCCCCACTCGTGTACGTACACACTCTCACTCTCTTAAATGAATAAATAAAATCTTTTTTAAATAAACTATAACCACGCCACAATGAAACATTTTTTATATCAAAGGAGATTTATCAGTAATGGGAAATAAAGCTGTGAGAAAGGTTATAAGCCCACTTAACAATAAAGGTATTATTTCCTCTGTATAAAACTGCCTCTAGGTGAGATCTACTGACACAGCTTGGGTGAGTCTCTTTGTTTTGGGAATTCTTTATATGAAGGTCAAAAACAGGCAACACTTATTTATGATGACGGAGGACAAAAGGGTCCTCTCCTCTCTGGATGGGGAGGGACAGCTTGAGAGCTTCTGGGGCGCTGGGTCTACTACGTACCTTGTTCTAGTTAGTACCTGCATGAAGTTGGATACGGACACCAAAATTCACCAAGCTCCACACCTCACACGTGTTCATTTACTGTAGGTTAACTTACACAGCCATTTTTAAATATCTCCATGGGAGAATCAACAGGGCATGAAGAACTTTATTTACTGGACGGACATACCGAAGTCACAGTGCAGCACTTAACCCTACGGCCCAACAGAAATACTGAAAAATAAGCAACCATCTGTGCACCCGTATCTTGACATTTTGCCACTTGGGCTTCCCTGGTCCCCTGACAGCACAACACCCACCCCAAGCCAAGGCTTCCTTCTCCTCCACCTGGACAGCTCACCTGGGGCTCTCCTCTCCCAACATCTGTCAAATGCACAGCTGCTGCTAAAAGATTCTCACTGAAACACACCCTACCTGAGAAGCATTTTCAGTAATTACAACGTCAAATTCAAATTGTCCAATCTCAAACCCCTCTGCCAAATCACCGACTTCCCTCCCCACCGCCCTCTGGCTAGGAGCACGCTCCAGAAACCAAGAAAACCTTTACTTTCCCACTCATCATAGTTTCATTAGCCCCTCATCCTTTATCAAAACCTATTAAGCACTTAATTCTCTTAACAGATATAGGACATAGTTCCTAACCCCAAGGAGCTTAACACCAAACAGAGCAGTAACACAGAGCCCCCGACTCAGCCCAATTAAAAGCTGACTGAGGGGATGGAGGGCATGGAAGGAGTAAGGACTGAGACACCAAGGGCATGGCACTGAAGCCAGCCCAAAAGCCCTCCCACCCCTGCAGGAGGGCTTCCCACTTCCTCATCACACAGCACCTTCAGGTCCCCTGCACACAAGTGCAGCAGCAAAGGGATAAAGTTCAGGGCCAGGCAGGAAGGCAGCTGGATCTAGAGAAGAGTCGGATGAAAGACTCCAGACCTCATGGCTGCGGGCACCATGGTCTTCGGCCCTGAAGTGGTGTGCAACACTGAAGGCTGAGCTGACCGGAACCCACGGGGTCCAGACAGAGGCATCGGCCGTGCCAGCGCAAGGTGTCTACCCGGGAAAGCAAACGCTCTGGTCACCTCCTTCACATGCATCACAGCAGCACGGAGTACCCACTGCGACCCCCAAGAAGCTTCCCTTCCTTTAGAGCTCTCCCCACCCAACATCTGATCACATTCCCAGCAAACGGGGGGCTCACAGAAGAGAAGCTGTTGAGAATTTCTGGGGCATGTCAAGTGCAGCAGGCCGCGTCAGGCTTACTACAAGAACCGAGCATTTCAGTTCCTTTCCAGAGCATTTCTAACCTAGTCAGTTTGATACCCCATCCCACTCTCCACCAAACACCATCTCACCCTTAGCTCCCCCAGTTTCTCAGCTGAACTGAATTACCTTTCACTAATTCCAGAATGATACATCACCTGGGCTCTTCACAAAGCAGTCCTAATCCAAGACAAATTAAGTTCAAAAAGCATTTAGCTTTAAAAAACAAAACAAAATCAAACTTAAAAATTTGAGGATAGCAATCTGTGGCCTGAAGTCAAAGGTTCAGTCTCAAAACTTCATCAAATTCCAAAGTCTATGAACATATAAAGAATCCAAAATTTCATTCCATACCCACAAAATCAACCGTCCCTGCTGAGACATTCTGTAACGCGCTGTGGTGCAGACGCCGCGCTCCCTCGCCAGTGCAGCAGCAGCCCCAGCCCCGCTTCCTCCGCAGAGAAATCTTTCAAAGGGCAGGTCAGCCCCCACTACTCCTCTGGCAAAACTGTTCTATCTCAGAGTAAAAACAGACACCTAAACCCTCAATTATTGGACACTGTCGTTCAAGAACAAAAGTGCCCATCGCCACGTGCAGTCCTCCCCAAGTCTTACTTGGGGAAAGAGGCAAAACCTGTGAAATCCTTCCCACCCCTGGAATTTACTGACAAACAACACCTTACAGGTACTAACTTTTTGAGCATTAAAACAAAACAAACCAAAACTTCTTGGAAGAACTTTAACTTCCAGGGAACTTTAAACTTCATCACAGTGTACAGAGCGACAAAGCTGGGTGACTACCGTAAACGAAAAATCACCGTAAGGTCCTGATTTACACAATTCTCATGGTCCTATGCTGTGCAGGAGGGTGCGCTGGACAGACAGTGGAGGCACAGGTGGCAGGGGTAGGGAACAGGAGGAGTCCCTCCTTTCACCAGCCCACCCCATGACTGTGTATAAACCAAAGCAGGGGACTGCTCAGAAGGCACTCCGGCGAGGGCCCCACAGAGGAGACGCTGCCGGCGGACGCTCTTCCCCGGCACCAGGAGACAGACGGTGCTCTGCTGCACTCTGTCCGGACTCACCGAGAATGAGCCCCACCATGGAGCTGAGGTAGCCCGTGCCACTGCCCAGGTTCAGGAAGGAGAGCCCCGGCTGCAGGTCCAGGGCCTCCATCACTTCCGAATAGATGCACGGAGCCGAGAGGTGGATGTTGCCGTGCTTCCATGCCAAGTCTTTGTACGCGTTTTCTTTAAATTCTTCAAGATAATAGTCTGCGCGATCGATAGCCCGGAAAGCCTGCTCGACCGGTGCGGTCCGGATGTACTGCGCCTCTTTCAGGTTGTCTACCAGCTCATCGTTGTCCTCGCCGGCGCTCACCGCACCTCCCATCTTCCAGATCGCACTTGGGCCACGCTGCAAATACAAACGTTTCTGAAGGGCTACTTACATTAAAGGTCAGAGCACACCAGTTAGGGTTCTAATAACATGCCAGTCTCAAGTTCTGAATTCTGAAAATATCACAGATGGAATATATTTGATCAGCAACTGTCTAACCCACCCCACCCCCTCCAAATTCTGAAAGACAAAAAAGCCAAAGATGAAATTCCATTATAACCATCCAGAAGCTTGTAATTTACAATTTCGAAGGCATGCAAATGAACTTGAGGTACCTAACACATACCCGACAGCTGCAAACAGCATTTTACGACAAGTAGTCAATCTACAAAGTCAGGTATTTAGGGTTAAAATTATCTTGAATATAGATCTGCCTTAAAAGGGATATATTCACATATGGCAAAGTCAATGGATATAAGCATAAAAAGAATATAGATATGTCTACAAAAATCACACTACTACCAACTTCTCTTTGAATACTTCAAGTGCTACAGATCACTTTTGATAAATAAATCTTTAAAAGCAAAAAAAAAGGAAATAAAGGTAAACAACAAATACTATAAAGTTATTCACTATTTATCTGAAATTCAAATTTAACTGTTGTCCTAAATTTTACCTGACAACTCTACACCCCCACATACACATCAAGTCAAGGAATCCACTCAATCTGTTCACTTGGATATTCGGATGTACAAATTTCAGGCAAAAATACTACAGGATGAATGGGGATATTTTATTTTAACAAATACAAAATCTGTTTTCAGGCTACAGCTGCTCCAAGGACTCCTACACCCCCTTTGGAAATATATGTAATGCAACCTTTCTACCTCTTTAACAAAAGGTACATTGCTTACCTTCTTCCCAACTGCATTCAAGAAGAAAAAGCAACAGTGTGATCCCTTCTTAGCCACCTGCTAACATACAATGTGCCTCCATCTAACTCACAGGAGCCATAACCATTAAAATATCTTCTCCAATTTTATAGGTACCCCATGTAACTCTTTCTGAAAGAATTATTTTACTTCACATAAAATGGTAACATTTTACAAAACACCTGATGTAAACTATTGGGGAAAACAGAAAACACCAGACTTCACAAAGACTGACACATTTTCTAATTCACTTCCATAATGACATACTATAATTTATTATTACAAAGTTTATCCTTGCTTTCCCCCTCACAATCCTCTGGATTTCTAACAGCAGAACAAGAAGCATAAACCCTGGGGGAAGAGCTTCCATACACATACCCCATGCACACTACTGGCAATTGTGGTGGGAGAGGTTTTCCCAGGAATAAAAATAAACGAACTCATGATAAATCTTCAGCTTCTCACAACAAATACACAAAATACGTGAAACCTAGGGCTTAGTATAAATGCTCTAACATTTCACGGTTGGAACAGTTCATCTTCATCATCAAGATCTTAGACCTGAACATTATACTTTCCAAATCACCAGGATGGCCCAATTATTAGATTTTCACCCCATTTCAAGATGTTCTGGAGCCCTTGCTAGGTTATGGTCCATGGCCAGTTAACTTAGCCAACTGGAAGAACTGCTAATGAGGTCGAGCTTAATCTTCGATAAGCTACTTACTTCTGAGGCTACAGTCTACATCCCTAGTCTAGGACAGTCATCTTAAAATATAGGTCACTGCTTAAAAGTGAAGTTGCGCTTGCTGCCCAAATGTCTATGTGGGAAAAGGCCTGGAAACCACGCATCTTCCATGGTGGATCTAACTCTCTACGCAATGTCCTACCATCCTATCTCAGTGCCATCATTCTACCTTCAGAAAGCAAACACTAACTCTATATTGGGTACACTTTATTTTCTACCATGTAATCTATCACTTACTTCCAACTTCACCTCACTTTGAAAGTTTCCTCACATGCAAAAGCTAGCACTTTAGTAAAAAGAGCTACAATCTTACAGGCACCACCCACCAGTCCCAGGGGTCTGGTTAGCTTCACAACATACTGAGGCAAATTGGGACCGAGCAGTCATTTTACTCCTGATTACAGACCAGTGCATGAAGAGACTAGAATTCAAACCCATGACTGTCTAGCCAAAGGCCTACATTCTCAAATTCTCAAAGAAAAAAACATTAACACATAACATGTTGGTTATCTTTGCCACAAATGACAGACTCTGTGACGATGCGGTAACCCTCTCTGTTGCCGCCAGGAGGAAGCGTGTGACCATCGGCAGGGTCTGAGAGTACGAACTCTGCCTGCTTATCTACCTCTCCTCACACTGCGTACAATCACCGCTTACTCCTGACCACCCCAAAACACCAACAACAGATTCAAAGATACCTTGCCCAACCAAATAATGGCTCTACCATCTAGTCAAATCCAACTGTTGGAAGTAATGAGAAATAATTTCTGGATACTGTACTTGATTATACTTTGTAATCCTCCGTATAATTCACTCCTCTGGGGTAACTGGCCAACAGGACAACCTTACTCTCACACTGCTCCTTCCAAAACCAACTGCCAAAGGGCAGTGAGGAAGACAGGTGAGCAGCAGCAGCCATGGGAAGGTCCAGGACTGATAGCCAAGGAGGCTAAAGCTGGGTCAACCAGCCTGAAGCCACGATCATGGGGGTTTGCGGTTTCAGTCAACACTGGGTTTGTCAGACTACACATGGAGGGCCACGGCCCAACCCGCGTATCACTCCTTCAGGGAAATACGGACAAGGTAATTTCATGTGGAAAATGAGCTGGGAGGGAGGGACCCTGTCCCGCAAGCCCTGAAAAGTTTGCCTTTTTTGTATGCAAGGGCCTGACTTAAGTTTTGATTGCTGAGGAATAAACACTTTTCCTCTGCCACTCCATGAAGAGCCAGGCCTCTGTCTGAAATCTGCTCTTAGTTGGTTTCCGTAACAGACCTTTTGGGCCACTTGTCTTTTCTCTTCTCATGCTTCACATTCCCTCTTGTGTCTTATATTCCCCAGTAAAAAGGAAGCCTGAGAAGCCCTAGGCTCCACCCTCAACCCCCATGCAAGCAGAAACTAACCCTAACTCTCTTCACGCCCCCACCTCACTGTGGGACCCCAGGTATGCTGTCAACTTTCCAGGTTCTGTAAGTAATAACCCGCTTCTCTTCTCTCGGGCTGTTGCTGAAAGCGGTCTGGGATTAGAGTAACTGCAGGGCCCGTGCAACCGCACCAGTGACTGAGACCAGCAGAAAACAGAACCAAAGCCACACCCCTGCTGGCAGAAGAATTAAAAGAAACAGAGACTTGCCATTAAAAGAAACAGAGACTTGCCGTGAAAACTAGAACTCAGAGAGAGGGATGTTTTTCAAACACTTGAAAGGCTGCCTTGTATACACCATTCCTGGAGCTGATAGAAGCTGGATCCGTGGAACACGTTAGATGAAGATTATTTCTACTCGACACAGAAGAGCTTTCTAACAACTAGAATTCCAAATACTGAACTGTTCTTAGAACCTCCACAGCCTGTCTCCCCCAGGGATGGCCCTGGTTAGGTACAAGCTGAGATGGGGGCCAGGAGGCCTAGGCTCGGACCCCATGCCCTCAGAGGTCCCCTCTCATTCCACCTCTAAAGCTCTACTTCACCCGAGCACAGCCCCAAGTTCTGAGCTGTCTGCAGGAACCTGACTTCACCAATTCTTGACTGTCTACTCGACACCCAAAACGCAGCCGTTCACTTCGGCCACTGCCCTGCCGAAAAGAAAGAAAAAAACCACGACAGGCTAGTGATGAACAAAGGGGGCGGGCAGAGATTTGGGTCACTTTTCCGAGGGGCAACGCTGGAGCACACGTCAGCACGGAGAAATCCGAAGCGCCGGCACCAAGCACAGCCAAGCTCTCCTTCCCCAACCACCCACCTTCTCCAGGGGCCTGGAGTCCCGGGGTTCTGAGCCAATTCTCAGTCGGAAGGGCAACAACTGTCCCTATGGTTCTGTCCTGGAGAGTGAATGTTCCGTCCTCCCTACACCCAAGACGGGCCCCGAACTCGCAACCCAAGACCGACAGGGGCAGCTTCCACCGGCTGCGCCCGCGGGTGCACCCAGACTGTCGCCTTCGGAAAAGGTCCGAGATCATCTGCTCCGAACGCGGACCCGCCTGCACTCGCCGCGCTACTCCCCGCAAACGTCTCCCGCTCGGCACGCCCGGCGCGGGCCGCGCGTCTCTCCAGCACGACCAGGGGCGCCAGCGACGGGCACCGGGAGAGGCCGCGGGGGCCCCGGGGAGCCGGAGGGCAAACCAGGACGCCCCCCCGCGACACACCCCCGGAGCGCTGCAGGGCACGGGGCCGCACTCCAGAGGACACGCGCCCTGGGAGGGTTGGGGGACGTGGGGAGACGCAGGAGGGGGAACCCGGGGACGGGGAGGGCAGACGCGGGGGAGGGGGCTGGGGAACGCCGGTGGGGGGAGGGGAGCTAGACGCCCGGGAACTGGGCGGAGGCGGGGAGAGGCCGGAGGGGCGCCGGAACGGAGGGGACGGCCCCCGGAGGAGGGGTCCAGGCGCTCGAGACCGGGGGAGGGGAGGAGGACAGAGAGGAGGGAGGGGTGGTAGGGGAGGCGACGCCGTCGCCCGCCACAGGCCGGGCCGAGGGCGGCGGCGGGGGCGGCTCTACCTCCGGGCTCGGCCGGCCCGCGAGATCCGGCTGCCTAGGCCGCGACCTGCAGCTCCTCCGGCGCCCCTCGCCCGTCCGCGCCGCCCGGCCGCGCCGCCCGGCCGCGCCGCCCGACCGCGCCGCCCGACCGCCGCCGCCGCCGTAAACATCCGCCGCCCCACTGCGCCTGTGCGCGCAACGGCCCGACTGCGCGTGCGCCCGAGCCTGGCCCTTAAAGGGGCGACGGCGCGGCTGGTGGGCCCCGGCGCGGACGGTCCGCGAGGCGCGTGGGAGGCCCCGCATGCTTCCCGGGTATTGGAGCGGGAGCGGTCCGAGAACAGCTGCCGGTCAGGGTTATGACTTCCGCGTACCAGCAGAGCCGGGACCCAGGGAGGAAGGGCCAACAGGTGAGAAAGAAATGAAAAAACTGTGTGATGGACAGTAACTCTCGGCAGTGGCTCTCTGGCTTGGGTGACACGGAAGGGACGTTTGAGCCAAGGTGGTAGGACAAGAAGGATCCATCTGTGCCAAGAGAGGGTCCCATGGCTGCGGCCCCGCGAGAGTGGAAGCCGTGCACACACCTGAGAGGAGGCCACAGCAGCCCCCACCCCTCCCGGGCTTCAGCCTGCCTCTGCGCAGACCCTTCACCTCTTTTCTGGGCCTTAGCGGAGAAACACAGATTTGGAATAGACCCCATCCAAGATCTGCCCCACAAAGTGAACTGTGAACCCGTACATCCCCATGTCGTGGAGCCGGTCTGCACAGCAGTCTCGGTAACAGACAGCCGCAGGCACCTGCAGTGACACAAAGACCCGGAGCCTGGGTTCTCAAGGTTTCTATTCCTAGAGGATGGTGGTGTCTGGGCAAGGGGCAGGCTGGTACAATTCTTTGGGTCCTAGAAGGCAAAGAGAACTGGTTTTGAAAATAGAAATAATATGAAATGGAACATTATGCAGATAAGAACTTCCCAAGTCCAGGGGAGGAAGAAGGAGAAGCCTGCCTCTAGGAGGAGTGCACTGCTGGGGGCGGGGGGTGACGTGCTGGGCAGCAAGAGGAAGGTCCTACACACCTGGAGGAGTTGGGGTGTATGTGCCCCCACGTATGTCCCACACAGAGAGTGCAGGGTTAGGACGTGTCTGCTCTGGTTGCCCTAGTGAAGCAGGCCAAGCGAAGCTTCGGTGGCCTGTGGGACACCACATAGGAGGCCAAGTCCCCAAGGGCTCACGTTAGACCTGATCTGCGGGCAGGGAGGTTGCGCTGACAGCATCAGGCTTGAGATGTTGACCAGGCACATGGCGCCTGCACAGGCCGCCCTCCAGGGGCAGACAGTCTGAGAAACCTTGGCTGGACATCAGTCAAGGTCGTTCCGCATCTCAAAAGTGACCTTGTGGCTCTGTGACCAGGTCCTCAAGGCTGCCTCCCCTCACCACCCCCAGGCACCCTGGGACCCAGGTTCTGCGGCACACATGCCGTGTATCCCTTTGTGAACCACCTGCACAGCCCACCTGGCAAACTTGGTGAAATTCTACCCCACTCTTCCTTTCACTTCAGTCTGGCCTTACCTGTGGTTTTCCAAAGGAGCTTTTAGTAGCAGAACCCTTTCTTTGAACACGGTGTCAGTAGCCGCCCTACCCCATCTCTACAACAGCTACAAGCCCATCTGCTGGGGAGGATAGGGCTTGCCACCAATCTCATGACCTTGACACCGCCTCTCAGAGTCCTTCCTACCTGCGTACCTTTGGTTATCTGTGACGGTTTCAAATTACAGAGGTCGTAGAACCATCCTTGACCCTCTCCCCACTGTCTGCACCCTCCATATGCTCTATTCTGTCTTGGCCCTGTATCCCTCACGTCTTGCCAGAATAATGTTCACTGACCTCCTGCATACCCTCTCACCAACCCCCTCCCTGGGCTCTGCCAAGTCATCTTCCTAAAGCACAGTCTGATCACATCAGTCCTCTAGACCTTCCCTTAGGGCCCATCGGCTTGGCTCTCCACAGTTATTTCCCCACCCCCTCTGTGTCAGCTCCACCAGCCCTAGACCATCAGGGTTATCTCTGTAGAGTGCCACAGTAAGCACTTTATGTGGGTTATCTCCACGATGTGGATACTAATATGATCTCTGAGAATGTCTCCCAGAGGTGTCTGACACTGGGAGCTAGCCTGGCCCTCACAGCAAGGCCATGGACTCCCCTGTTGGACGTGAACAGTCTTGCAGAGGCACCACGTGGTGATACAGTGAGACAAGACGTCATAATTGGGCCCAAGCACAAACAAAAACAAGGTCCGTGAGTCACCCACAGACCCTCAGACATGCTCTCTCCCAGCTGACAGCAGTGAGCCCTGCTCCTTCTCCTTCATCAGTTACAGAGGAGCCCCTCTGGGGCAGAGCTCAGGGGCAGAGCATCTGACTGCAGAGGAGCCTCCCTCCACCCTGCCCGCCTAACAGAGACCACTCCCTGGGAGGTTCCTGCTTCCCAACAGCACCCAGTCCACTCAGAGGCTCCCTCTCTGTCAGATGGAAGTGTCAGTGCCCAGCCAAAGGCCAGCGGACACACCCAGCGCGGGATGAGCTCATTTGTCTCATCTGTGAGTAGCAAGCCCACCATGGAGGGCTGCAGCGCGTCTCTAACAGGAGTCGGGGGACTTGCTGAAGGGTATGGGCTTGGGCTGGGAGATGTGTGGGCTGCTCGTGGTTGGCATATCCGGAGGAGGAGAGCCCAGGCACGGGGGAGGTCGTGTAGACGCCTGAGGTCAGGGTGTGCCTGGGTGCTTGTGGCTGGAGCTACCTGCAGTGGGTTGGGTCACTGTCTTCAATGTGCTGCATGAAGACTTCTTCGGTTAAGGTGGCCCTTTAAAAATGGTTTTATTGTGGAAATAGAGAGATAACATAAAATTTACCATTTTAGCCATTTCTAAGTGTGCCATGCAATGGCACGAAGTACGTTTCTCACTGTTGTGCAAACATCACCACTATTCATCTCCAGAATTTTTTTCATCATCTCTAACTGAAATGTGCCAAGAAATTCTGAAACTCTGACCAAGATGGACTGGATTTGCTCTCATGCCTGAGACACCAAGAAGTGGGCTACTATGTGAAGCAAGCATTCTCAGAACCTGGACATTGTGCAACAAAGCTCAGGGACTCCTGAGAGACGAGAAACCAAGGGGCTGAGCCCTCCCAGTTCCCTCATCTCACCACCACGGGTGTCTTCCTGCAGCAGGGCCAAGAGGGGGATCCCACGCAGAGCCTAGAGGACTCCCTGAGGGGAGGAGGTAAAACCCAGAGGGCAGGGAGACCGAGGTGGCTGGAGGGCGCAGGGCAGGGGTCAGATGGGGAGAAATTGACAGAGAGGACTTGAGAACCTGCAGCAGCTCTCCCTCAAGGGTTCAGTGGAGAACTAATGAGCATGTGTGTGTGCAGAAACAACCCAGGGCCAGGGAAAGAACCGTCCAAAAGGGTTAGAGGGCACACTGCCTGTGGTTGTGCGAGGCAGAGAGGGCATCAGGTACCAGCAGCCACACTGGAAAGATTCTCGGTTCGTGGAACAGTGGGAAGAGTGCACAGGAGGGTCTTGCCTCCGGAGTGAGTTACCAGCTCGCCACAGGATGATCCCTGCTCAGACCCCACCTAACATATCAGAGAAAGATCTAAAAGGATCAAAATGTTTCCTGGCCACTGTGTCCCAGACCAAAGCTCAAGAATATTTACAGGAATACAAAATACCCAACACTCAACAAGGTAAAATTCACAACGTCTAGCATCCAATCTAAGACTGTCAGGATTATAAAGGAGAAGGCGTAACAAGGACGTAAGTGCAGACACAGGTTACATCAAGAGAACCCCAAATAAAACTTCCAAAAATAGAAATTACAATGTCTGAGCTGAAAAATACTGTGGACGGTATCAGCAGCAGATCGGATGTTGCAGACACGGCAGCACAAACTACCCCAAATGAAACGTGAAAAGAGAATAACAGCATCAGTGGCACCTGGCGGGGGGGGCAACCTCATGTGGCCTGACACACAGTAAAGACTGTCCCACAAAGAAGGGGCACAAGCTGGAACAGAAGGAAAGAATGGAGGAAATGCTGGAATCTTTCCCACTTTGATGAAAACTCTGACCCTCAATGAGCTCCAAGCACGGGAACATGAAGGAAAGTACCAAGGCACAATATTATCAAATTGCTCAGAACCAATGATAAAGAGAAGAAATTTGAAGCCCCCAGAGAACAAAGACTTGTCCCCAACAAAGGAATCAAGAGCGGGGAGGCCGGCAGGTTACAAGACACCACATTGACCACCAGGCGTCGCCCCTGGGCTGCTGCTCGGGCGAGAGGCTGCAGCCCATCCCCCAGAAAGGGAAGGAAGAGTTCTTCCTCCTCGCAAGCCCTGTGCAGCCCGCAGGCGGAGTTAGCCCTTCACAGACGCGCCGAACGCTCCTCTGCTCTCCCTAGTCTGCGGGTGAGTGCAGCGTGATGTTACCTGAAAGCACAGGTGAACTCCAGGGCAGTTGTACCACAAATGACTGAGAAGAACAATTTCTCGTCTTAAAGCACTTTAGTAAGAAGTTAGTGATGTGTGGGCTCTGGGAAGAGGTCTGTGATGGTTCGTTTCTGTGTCCGCTTGGCTAGGCTCGGTGCCCAGCTGTTCCGTCAAACGCCGATCTAGATGCTACTGGGGGTATTTTTTAGCTGTGATAAGCATTTAAATGAGCAAGCACGGAGTAGATCAGATTGCCCTGCGTGATGTGGGTGGGTCTTAAC